TCTCATTGATGTGATGAATGATGATTTTCAAAACGCCAGCTTTTAATGGATGTATTTAGAAAATATTCAGGTTTAAGTGTAGGATGACTTTCTAGTTTGCATGTTCAAATAGATGCATTTAAATAATTTCTATCCCTAGAATTAACAATTTCAGCATGTTATTAGCCTTTCTAAGACAGTGGAATTTACTGCAAATGTGGTGAAATTAGGACCTTTAAACATTTCCTGCCCTGATTTTCTCTTTATGCTGGCCTTTTAAAATGTTCTTTGTTCCTTAAGCTGTGCTTAAAAATAGAAAATACAGAAATGGAAACCATCTTAGGTAGATTCCAGTTAATTTACTATTTTATTGAATGAGCTGAAGGCAGGCAGGTAGAACTCCTAGAATGCTCAGAGAGTTCCTAATAGCAAAAGGTTGATACTATTTCATAGTGGAGGCAACAGGGTGTGTATTCCTTTCTATGGAACAGAAGTCTGTGCTCCCTTGCTTTGTCCTGGAACTTACAGTACCTCCATTCAGCCAAAATTGTCTGTGCTACTTTCTCAGCCTTAGGCCTGAATTTAAACATCTATAAAGGCTGGTAAGCAGTGGTTGGCTTCAGTTTACGTTGTCTCTAAGGGAATTATCTACATGCACACAAATTACATTAAAGGATTGCCTTTTTTCTGGATATTTTGCACTGTTATTTTCAAATACTATATAATCTCTTAGTGTACTTGGATGGAGTATATTCATCTTTTGCTAATGTGTAGTTAAAATCAGTTAAAGTGGATAGAAGGGTGTTAAATAATGGATGTCTGTACAGCATTCTGGATATTAGCTCTAATGCTCCTTTACCTGTTCTTGTTTTATACTGTAATGAGTTCCCAGCAAAGGCTTATGAGGAACAGTCTATCCTCACTGTGTTCTCCTAGTTACTCCATGACCTCTCACCTGGAAATAAATTTGACAGAGGGCTAATTGTCTTTCATTGTAGTTGTGTTATCTTGAAAAGTGCCTCTGAAGTGAAAAACTGATCTGGTAAGAAAACTGATGAGTTCATGAATACAGAATTTAATGATATATATCACAATTAGAGTGGCTGTTACTTTTTTAGGAGAATTGTAGCGACATGTTTGTTTTGCTGAAAATAGCCTTACTGCCACCTAAAAACTGCACTGCTAAAGGATTCATCTGCTGAATGAGTAAGGGAAAGCTTGCACCTTAACTGTGTGTCATTAATTATTCATCTGCTTCAGTAGAATACAGAACATGCTGGAGCTTTCTTAAATTCTTAACAGCATTGTAGCCTGTTAAAGAGCTATGCTGAAAACAGTGTATTTCAGTAATACAAACGCAACTGTATTTACTTTTATGAGTCTTTGATTCATCTGTGAAATGTGGAATGGGCCAGTCAGTCTGAATTCAAATCCTTCCAAATTCAGAGAAATTTCAGTTTCAATCCTGACCTGAGAACCACCTCCAAAGAATGGATATTTATATCTGTCCAAAAGTCCTTTAAGTCTCTAGTAATGTCCTTTTCTTCTGTATAAATTTGGGAAAGGTGATTGTAATCAAAATTGCACCTACTAGAAAACATGTTATCTGTTACTAGGTAAGGAATATAAAGATATTTATCCACTGCAGTACATCAATAATTAACAGATTTGCAGATTATACAGTGTTAAGACCATTAGAGAACACATCAGAGCAATGAAACTCTGCCTAGATCACATTGTGATTAAGGTCTTTAAAAACCATACTCTTGTAGCAATGCCTGAGTGTGAGAATGGAGGTGTATAAGCATCTGATAGTGTTGTGTTTTAGCAAAAGTATAAAGCATTTTCAGACTTAAATTAGGGAAATAAGACTTCTATCACAAAGAAGTAATATGAAAAACTTTTCTCCATATTAGGAATTGGTATGATAGAGTCTAATTCAGTGTGGATGTCTAACTCAATGTTGCTGTTCATACCACGAGAAAAATGTGGAGTAAGGGGAGGGGTTTTGAAGGAGGATCATCTAAAAAACCCATGGCTATGGAGGAAGGCTTAAAGCTAAATGTATTAATTTACGTGAAGTTAACAAAGTATGTTTAGATGTTTAAATGAAGTGAAATGACTGGAAATGGAATTTGGTTACCAAAACTGTAACCAAGTTGTGTGGTAAAAAGTTAAAATGAAATGCATTAAACCTTGAAACAAAACAACTTAGGTTTATTGTGAGGAAAGAAACATACTGGAACATATTAGCAGTGAAGAACATTTGGAGTCTTACATATTAGTGTGTGCTAATTCACTGAAAGGGGCTGAAGTTATGAAGTGGCCTGATCAGGTGAAGGTTTGGACCAATTTCAAGCCTTCTAGCCTTGAAATTTGTCACTGAATCCTTCTTCTGCTTTATTTGAAGTCTTGAAAAAACCAGGACTTTTCAATTTGACTCCAACATGTTTGTAATGCTTGCAGTTACTTATTAACCTTCAGGAGTAGCTTAGCACCTTGTCTTCAGGGGTTCACCAGAGAACTTTTCCCTCCCAGGCATGACAGTTCAATGGGTCCTGGCGTTTTATTGCTTTGAATACCTGGGTTTGATGATATAGAATAGATACAGTTGCTTTGTAATGATCTAGGATGATGAGAGATTTAACAAGGAATTAGTGTATTAGAATAGGATTGAGGAATTGTGTACAAATGAAGATTTTGTTACCCTGGCCATGCAGATATTACATGCAGTAATAGTGTACTTCTACAACAATTCTTAAAATACAGGGTGGTTCTTTGAATGTATGTGTTGGACCTTTGCATTCTGGCCAGTTGCTGGTGCTCTGTCAGTCTGCTCAAGAATCCACAAATGCATAGCTTTCAGAAATACTTGTTAGAGTTGTGACTATAAATTGTGAATTTAAATGTATTTAAAAAAAAGTATCAAGTCAAGGCTGATAGCAGAATTAACAAAAAACTTTGAACAGCCATATCTTTGATTCAATAAAGCATCTACTTTTCCTACAGGTGATGAATTTTGCTCATGTTCGAAAGCTTCAGCAAGAATCTTACTTGCGATTTTAGATTTTACTCTGGTGAGATGAATAGTTTCACTTGTTTTAAGCAAATATCAGGAAAAAATATACCCTCTTGAAGTCCCAGTATAGAATTTTACAATTTATTTGTCAAGACCAACCCATGCTTCGATGTAACTGGCAGGTGGTGGAAAGAGAAGCAAACATTTGAGTTAAAATGGGGAAAAGGGGAAAAGCCACTCCATGTGCTTTAAGCATATAATTTTGGAAATAGACCTTTTCCCCTTCCTTGGTGGGTTTTTGTTTAATCTTTGTTCCTGACTGTGTTATGATAATTCTGTTAGAAAGGACAGTGAGTGTGGTCAGTGGTTAGTAATGTTAAGGGGTTTACATAAATGGCTCTAGTTCTTTTTAGAATTTTGACCTTATCTGCAGGGGAGAATTTACTATCACCAGTAGAATTTGAATCTGTTTAGTTCAACCTGATTAAATTGCAGGATGGATGCTGTACTCACAATACACAAGCTTAATTTGGTTTCCCTTCATTTGTTTGAATTAAACCAATTTAGGCTCTGTATTCTGAATGGACACTCCTTTACAGGCATGTAATCCACTCTTATTGGGTGTAAATTTAGATGCTCAACTTAATGTTTCTCCAGAGGGATTTGTTTTATCTGGAGTTGGTTCAACTGTCATAATGTCCAATTTAACCAAAAAGGTGTAAATATAATATGAAAAAGAAATATCAGAGAACATGGAAAACAACCACAGTTTCTGCCGTGTCACACAAATGTTTGTCTTCAAAAGTCAGGTTGTTCAAGCAGCGGCTCCAATTTAACCAAAAAGGTGTAAATATAATATGAAAAAGAAATATCAGAGAACATGGAAACAACCACAGTTTCTGCTGTGTCAAACAGATGTTTGTCTTCAAAATCCAGGTTGTTCAAGCAGTGGAGTGTTTACTAAAAAAGCATAATTTAGTCCCAGTAGTAAGACTGGCAGTTAGCCACATGGAAGGCCATACTGCTGATTTAAATCAGAATGATTTTACCAATTTTGCATATCATTTGTGTGCTGATTCAGGGAGAGAAGCATTGTTCACTTGCAGTTATGCTATTTTGAAAGCCATAGAAATGACCTAAAGCAAATATACTTTTCAAAGAGTATTGTCTTTAGATAAGAGGGCTTATACAAAGAGTTACATTTGTATAATTACACCAGTATAACAATAAGCACAGTTCTAGAAAAGCTCAAAGAATTGAAATAAGCTTTTATTTGGTTGTAGTATTTGCTGATGGGAGCCATTATGGATATGTTAATCTCCAAAGTACAATTTTTTATAATACTATCTATAATCCAATTCAGCAATGATTACTAAAACCAGAAAATTTTAAAAAGTAAACTGTCAAAATTACCAAAGACAGGGTTTTTGCCTTACCAAAAACAGCTGTTTATAGCCTGAGATAATTGTACTTAAGATGTATTTAATCAGAAATAATCCTAGCTATGTGAAACACATTGTAAAATGTGAAGTAGTCTGTATGCAGTGCAACTGAAATTTACGTATCTATTTTTAACATTGTAATTTTTTGGTTAATATTATTTTAATGCTGTTATATATTACTATAAATTAATCAAACAATTATTTAATAAATTATTAATTAGGTTATTTAATTAGTTATTAATTTAAAAAAGGATTATTAAAATTAAGTTTAAATGTAATTATACCTTGCAGCAATTTGAAACTGCTTGTGGAATATACCACTGAAAATGTTTAAGTTCATTAGTTCTATATTGAGATTGGTATTGGAGATTCGGGAGAGAGCAAGTTGGAAAATTAAGGAAGGCTATCCTTGAATTTTTTTATGTACTGGAAACTGACTAAAATTTCAACATTACTTACTGTGGGATACAAAAAATAGCTAAGGTGCTGGGTGAGAAACACAACTTCTGCTGTATTTCTTGTTATTCTGTTAATCACTGAGTTCTGCTCTGTTTCTGCAGTGACTGGTTAAATGGAAGCCATTCCTGGGATCTGGATGGTTTCTACTGACGCAGACTTTGCATAGCAGCTCCATCACCTCTGGAGGTTGCAATGAGTGGAGGAGGGGATCAGCCTGACATCCTCAGTGTGGGAATATTGGTCAAAGAAAGATGGAAGGTGGTGAGTATGCCTTCCTGCAATCCTGTATCTTCTTTGAGAGGTTTTTAGAAAGAAGCGGTTTGTGCTTTGTAATTAATTTGAAAAATCTTGTGAGATATTTTGCTTAGTACTTAAAGTAATTGTGAATGAGCTTTAAAACTACTTGTTTCTCTTACCCTACTTTAAAAAAAAGTTATGAGGATTTAAAGTGGGTTATTTTTTTTTCTGATAAGGACCTAGGAGAGCTCTTAAATCCCAGTGCAGTGCCTGATCCTAGCACAACTGGAAGAGTACTGTTAGTATATTGAACCCAATCAGCCAGTGATTATGTCAGTCTGTTTTGGAGATCAGTCAGAAGCCCTCCCCTGAAACTAGTAGGTTTGTGAGATATGTTACTCCTTATAGGAAGGTCTTTCAGGGCCTTGCTGCGCTTCCTTTTGTTTGTTGGATTTTATAGCATAGATTTATTCTCAGCTGATTTGTATTCATTTGATTGTATGCCAGCATTGGCTTTGCCATAAATAGCTCTGTTCCTTTTTGCTGTTCATATCCTTGATTTGCATCTTGAGGGAAATAGTATCCAGTTGAAGCTATTTCTGCTGGGAGAAACAGGCTGAGTTCTTGTAGCTCCTTCTCCATTCCTCTGATCACTTTGGTTTTTTTCACTTGGAATTTAAAAAAGGCCAGTTCACAATAGAACATTTAGAGTATCTGTGTGTGTGTGTAGTAGGCTGTGAATGGATTCTGAATTGCTCACTTTATATTATTTCAAGTTTTTTTGAACTGTAAGACACAACATGGAAGATAGAAATTCATCATTAATTTTAAATTAATAAGAGAGAATTGTTTCAACGGTCTTGTGCCCTATCTTTCAGTTAAATATGCAGGAAGCTGATACTAACTTTGTATAGGAAATCTTTGTGTTTCCTTTTGGGTAAATAGAACCTAAATAGCTATCTCTGGAGTATAAGTATTTGTAAAATATCTTCTTATATTTAATCTCAATACAGCAGTGAAGTAAAAGCAGAAAGCATAATCTTGATTCAGATCAAATAGTATAAAATACCATTTAAAATACAATAATATACAAAATACAATAGACAATAACACACATATCACTAGCCACAAAACCACTTGTCTGATGTGTGCAACAGTGGCTGTGTTTTCTTCGGGTTTATTTTCTTTCCTATGTAATGAAGACTGCTGATGACATAAGTGTCTTCTGGAAAATTTTGAAAGTAGGCTGAAGTTCGTTTCACGTAATTATACATTTTTACTTACATGTTTTCCAGATATAGTATTACAGGAAGATGAGTGCCAAGTATTTTCTGTGGGTAACTCTTCAATTTCTTATCTTCTGTAGCAAACATTAAGGATTTCTTGATGGCATCTAAGGTGATAGACTTCCTGAATTCAGGATTTCATAGGACTGTCTCCCAGCAGAAGAAACTGAAATGCAGTTTTTGGATTTTTTTGCTGCTGAGGACCTTGTTCATTGCAGTTGTGAAAACCATATCTAAAATTTTTGGACACGAACATTTAAAAAAAAATATGTTCAATTAAATTTAATTTTAACCTAGACATTATTTAGGGTTATTCCATTTTGAAAAGTAAGCATAAAAATATTATAAAATATTTTTTCCCCAGCGACAGCCCTCTTCTCTAGTGGTGTCTGTTAGCATTCACTTTTATCCTTTGTTGATGCTTTTCTTCATGCCTCTTTTTTGACTTTGAAACATTTATTAGAATCCCGACTTGGAGAGACTTGCTTGTAATGATAACTGACTTTTTATATCTTTGAGAATGACATTCAATATCTAGTGTAAGCAAAGGTACCAAGATAAAACTTGTTGGAAATTGTATGCTTTAGCCTGGAAGCATATAAAGACACAGAAGTCAAAGAGAGAATGGAAAGAGTTTGGGGTGTGAGATCCTGAATGCAAAAAGAGAAGGCTGAAACGAATGAACAAAGTGGGATATTGTAATGCAGATGTAAACAAGGGCAATGTGGTCCTCATCAAGGTAAAAGATGTTGAGCAGGTGTGGTGGGAGACCAGTGTGGCTGAGTGGTCACCACCTGTGTGAACTGGCGAGCAAAATGCAAGTGAACAGAAAGTGGACACAGGGATGGGCTGCCAAGATTACCATGGAAACGTTGCCTCTGTGTGATGAATATATGGGAAGGCCAGAGCTCAGCTGGCAGTTGTGACTGGTGAAGGATGCGAAAAGCAACAAGAAAAGCTTCTGTAGGGATGCTGGCAGCAAAAAAAAGACCAAGGAAAACATGGACTCATTGTTGAATGTGTGTGACTTGGTGACAAAGGACGTGGAAAGTATTTTTTTCTGCAATCAAAGAGAGGTCAATTTGGGCCTGGAATTACTGAGTGGTGTAATTATTGGGTGTATGTTAATGATTCTGGTATACTTTAGCTGAGGATATAAATTGATCTGTTTATTTTGTTACGGTGTTCGTGGTTTTGTTTGCTTTAAATTTCTTTTAAGCACACATGCAGAGAAACAATGCTTTCAGAGGCAGTCTTTCATGGTCTGGCCATTTTTCAAAGCTGGTAAATGAAGTTAGATGACTAACATGTCTACATTTGTAAGGGGGTGAGGAAGGCTGTGTCACCTCTTTTCTTTTCCTCTCACCTTATTCACCATGTATTCTCACTGGTGTGCTTGTACTGTGCTGAACATTCATGTGTTATCTGTCATCTTCTAATTTATTTATAGAGTCTAGGCTATTTTAAAAAATGTTTTTCCTGCTCAGTCAAATGTCTGATGGTGTTAATTAGGAGACATTAGATTACTTTTCAGAATCTGAAGATAGGTCAGCATATTGCTGCTCTCTAGAACCCTGGACAGTTTAGATGACATTTTATGCAGTGTAGTCGTATAATGTTAGCAACTGTATGTTTTCAGATGACATTTAGAAAACCATGCTAGTCTTAGGGTAAGTTTTTTTTTTTGTCTCCTTTTCTCTTTTATCAGCTTTAGAATGTTAGCCAGGGGAGGCATTTTGTGAAACAACATTGACATTTTTGATATTGAAAACCAAAGTAGTGTCTGTTCCATGTGGCCACTTAAAGCAGAGTGAAAAAACCAGCTTTTAATATTTGCTCTGAAGGTAGTGCAAACTAATTAGCATGCCATGAACATTCTTTTTACCTCTTTCTTGCAGAGATGAAACTTTTAGTGCTGCAAGTGTCTTGAGTCTGTCTGTTAACAAGAATGATATAGGTGAATTGTAAGTGAATGTGTGTAACAATTGAGATGTATATTCAAAGATAATCTTAGCCATTTCTCATATTTATGATTTAGCTGCTGTGTGTAAGTCACTCCATATAATAGAAAATACTGTCTCTTTTCAGGAAGTCCAAAAACTTGTATGACTTTATACCGTTATTGTTCAGTGTATTTCTGAAAAGAGAAAAAGATGGTGTATTTTAAAAATGTCACTGTGCATTTGTATTTGAAGATCTCTGGGCTGTGTGTGACTATTTGAGGAAAGACTTTATTCAGCATGCTGACTTTGCCCAGATTCATGCTGGGAATTCTACTGCACTCTTCTATTATGTTATATACAATAGTGCAGATGGGGATCAGGTGTGTTCTCTTCCAAACTGGTTAGCCATACCTTGGTCAATTATTCAGTAGCTCTTTTATGTACTGAAGGATATAATTATTATTTGAAAATCTATTTGTAATACAACAGGGTTTGCAGTATGACAGGCAGAACAAAGAAAATAAAACAGCAATACTTCTTTCTTCTCCACTCTTTAAAATATGTTTTTATTCTTTCTTTTTCCCCAATATAGTTGAGAAAAATAGGAGGTGGAGGATTTGGAGAAATTTACGATGCACTGGACTTGCTTACTCGGGAAAATGTTGCACTGAAGGTGGAATCAGCTCAGCAGCCAAAGCAAGTGCTGAAAATGGAAGTAGCTGTGTTGAAGAAGCTGCAAGGTAGGGCTACACCTTGGATATGCAAGGAGTAGAATGTCAGTGTATCTTCTTTAAAAAATAATTGTAATCATAATAATATTTTTAGTCAATATTTCCTGTATTCTTCATGTTCTTGGTTAATTATTATTAAAAGTGGAATAGAAGCTCTTTCAGATTCTGAAAGTTTTGTTACAGTGAAGCTTTTGTTTGAAATGGGATGAAATGAAAATTAAATGAACAATAAAAATAATTCAATTGCTGCAAAAATCTCGGCACAGATTTACTTTATTCTGAATCCATATCTTCTCTTTGTTTTTTGCTCTAGACTTTGCTGTTATTCTTGTTTTTATTTTTTCTTCTAAGATTTTATTTTTCAGTATTATGCAGCATTGAGTATTTGAGGGTTCTTCACATAGCATATGTGTTAAGAATATTTGTTTTCTTTGCTTGCAGGTATTGCTGAGAATTCTGATATTGAAATAGGAAACATACTTAAAAAAATTCCCATGAGCAAAAGCCCCAACTTTAAAGTACTGTAACTTGTATGAGAAAACTACTGGCATGTAAAATCCTGAAATACTTCCAGGGTTCATATCCTTGAACCAGAGTTTAAATAGTCAAACTTTCTGTAGCTTTAGATACTTTAATGAAGCTATCAATACAGAGAAATATGCAGTGGCTTCTCTTCATTGCTTTTTAGAACATGAGATTACAGAAAGAAAGATTAAACAGTGACTTTTTTCTTTGAAAATTATTATTTTTAATCTGTAAGATTTTGAATAATACATGCATTCCTGTCAGCAGCCCAGTTTTTCCGAACTCTTATTTTGAATAAAACAAAGTCTGCATGACATATGGTGCAGCCTAATGTGCTGTAAAGGTCACACTGCAGCAGGAATTGACAGCCTCTATAGATTTAAGAGGGCAAGCATGTCACATGTTATGATGGTAACAAACTGTTCCTACGCTTTTATCTGTTTCAAGGGTTTCACTAAAACATCTAGTATTATATAGCTGAGCAGGGAGATTTTCTTAGAATTTTAAAGTTTCTAGTCCAAAGATGAATAGTAAATTTCAATATTGCCAATTGAAAGTTTGGAAAACATTTGTCAGGGTTCTTGAAAGAAAGTATCCTAAAGACAGTGAGTTTTGAAGAACAAAATACTCCATAACTCCTGGTGTTTTTAAAAGCTCAGAGTTAATTTTCCCAAGACTTTGTGGGTTTTTTTCTGCACACATGAGCTTGATTCTATTTTACAATGCCAACGGTCCTTAAAATGGTATAGATGAGACAACTAAATGATAAGGAGATTAGTAGAGCTGAAAGAAAACACTGCAGTTTGGCAGCACTACAATGCCAATGTATTTATGAAAACATGACCTTATATAGGACTGTGTAACTGGAGTGCATTTTAACTTTCCACTCTAAATTACAGTATGGTGGAGTTTCAGTTAAGATATTAGAAAAGGGATTTTTTTGTAGTCAAAACTTTTTTTATCTTTTGAAATACTTGTGGAAAAAAAAATTGATGAAATAATAAAATATTTGTGTGAAAATTTGCCATAGGGCCTTACAGAAGTTATACTCTCAGAGGAATAGTTAGGAAACTATAATTCCAAACAACCCAACTTTTCCTGCAGAAGAGTCTTTGGTTCTATTGAATCATGGGAAACATCTAGACAGAAGGAACAGAACAATGAAACATATGACCAACACATCCACCGAGACAAATAATCCACAAAATATGTTATCCAAATAAATATTTATGTTATTTATTATCTCAATATTATTTCTGAGCAAATAATAAATGGAAGCTTTTGTATAACTGAAAACCAGATTTTGTATGAGATCTTTAGAAATAACACTTCTGACAAACTTTCTTATGAGAAAACAATCAAAATATATTATTCCTTACATTTTATATCTTGTTGCTCTCTTGCACCAAAAAAAAAAAGAAAAAGAAAAAAAAGGTTGGTGGTAATGATAGTAACACTAGAGGTGACCTCCAGTCATTGCTGTGGAAGTTTCCAGTTAACACTGTAAGCAAAAAAAAAAAAAAAAAAGAAAAAAAAAAGTTGATGGTAATGTGGTGATAGTAATACTAGAGGTGACCTCCAGTCATTGCCGTGGAAGTTTCCACTTAACACTGTAAGCAAACTTAGTGAAGAGATGGGTCAAATGAACCTTTTGCATATATTGCAATTTATAATTTGCACTGATACGGTACTTTAGTTTTACATGCAGCTTTTTTTATCCATACATGGAAGGTTTTTTATTAAATAAGGTTATGGTAGAGACCATTTTAAGTTTAACAGGAAATCTTTGCTCCTAGGAGCCATTTGCATTAATTTCTTTACCTTCACAAGTTTTCATTTTGAAAGAGCTAAAAATGTGAAGCACAGGGAAAATCAAGAAATGTGGAAAGAATGGTGAAAACAACTTTATAATTGCTTCTTAAAGATTTTTTATTATTATTCTTTAATGATTTTTTTATCATGCAGAAATTAGTCTTATTTTTAACAATTTTTTTCTGTTCATGCAGATTTAGACCAGGTGAAATTGTAAACAGTTATTTTAGGATATTTTTGTAACAACTTTGTATTATCATACATCCTCTGAGACCAACTTTTATCTTGTTCTTCTATCCCTTTTTGGTGTGTGTGTATGTATGTATGTGTATATATATAATTACTCTCCTTTTCTCAAAGGGCTTAGGTTCTCTTCTTGCAAGGTGTTCTAGTTACATTGGGCATAGAGAAGAAGGAATAGAATTGTCATGAAAACCCTTTTTATTTCAAATATTTGAAAAGCTTCCTCTGTAATGAGAGACAATGAACTTGCAGTGTTGATGAAGAATTTCTTGATGTGTTGATCTGAATTTTAAAAAATACTGCACAGTTTGTGGAGTATTATGAAGAAACAGACTTTTAGAAGAGAATAAATGAACAGGTGTGTTCTTCTAGTCTATACTAGACCTAGGCACATTCTTAGGGTTATAAACATGTTCTTGAATGTATCTGTACTAGAATCTTATTTCACAGAAACTGTGAAACTGATATAAGAGTAGATGTTGGCAGAAGTGTAGGGATGCACTATTTCTCACCATTCTTTACTTTCAGAAACTTTTGGAATTGAACTAGTGTGGTCATTATTGCGGGGGTAAAATGAGTAATAACTATGTGGTATAATGAAGTATATAAAAGTAGTGACTTTGTTTATGGTACAGTGACTAATGAAAAACTTAAAGAAGTCCTTTTTAAGACTCCGAGCTAGCAAAACATGCTGGAATATGTGAGTAATTGTATGACTTCTCTCTTAATTATGAAGGAGGACTAGACTCACTGATATGGCCATTTATTACAGCTTAGTCATCAATTACATCTTAATTTTTCTTCTCCCTGCTGTCTCCTAATTATTGTTGCAGAATATTGTTTAACTCCTTAAGTTCCTTATTTCTGCTTTTTTTAAAAAAAAGAAATGTACTGCAACAGATGGTTGTTTTGTTTAACCATGTTGTTAGGCCATCTGTTCCCACAGTCAGATGGGAGAAGACAGATTTATCACATCTCACTCAGTGAGAGTGAGACTCACTCAGTTGGTTTCTGTCTCACACAACCTTACAGACTTCTCCCTCACTCATTTACAGCTCTGGAGTGTAATTTAGTGATGGGCTGTGTCTGATGTAGGCTGCAAAGCTGCTGTAGTGCTACAGTGCAGCAGCCTGAGGAATGGCACACAGGCTTAGCACCCTCCCTAGGAGATTTTTCAAGGGCAGAGTTATTCCCTGCAGCCTGTTAACATCATCTTCTTGTCCTGCAGCTCAGCAGTGTAGCTCACAGGTGTAAGGAAATACTGTTTTCCTGCTGAGGAAAAGGCTGTAGTAGGTGTGTATAGCCCCACTGGAGTGGTGGAGGATCATTCTATTTGAATAAGGTATTCAGGTTTTACTTCTGTCCTTCCTTTTTCCTCAATTTTATATCAAGGTTTCAAGGAAGTTTACCACACAAACTGAGTTGGTGCTCCAGTCAAAATGGAATTTCTCTGACTAATCTGAGTTTTAGACATTTACTGCATTTGTCAGATAAAATTTGACTAATATATGTGTCTCTGAAGATGTTCCTTCAGAATACCCACAAATGGCTGTAAAATTAATCATAAATATTTGAGATGAGACTTCATTAATGGAAACTGCAGCAATGAATATACAAAATTTCATCTTGATAAATTTGCTACGAATCCTTTTTCTTCATAAAATTATACTGTCTGTAATATTGCCTGTCTTACTTGAACAAATGGGTAGAAGGAAAAAGTGGAGAAAAAACAGCAATGCTTAAAGTTTAGCACTTACATATTTGCAGAAATGTAGAGATGTCTTTTAAAATAAATTATTTTGATGAATCCTATCAGATTATCTTTGCTTAAAAGAGTCTACCAACCTGTTTTAATTGGATGTGGCAGGCAGCTTCCTGAGGAAGCAAGAAACAGGCAACCACTTTTCTGTCAATTGAATTGAAAACATTTAGAAGCTGTAGGGTCAAATTTTAGGGTTTTGATGGAGCTAAAAGTGCGGCATTAGCAAAAAGTCCCCTCAGATCTGTAGCTAGACATGATGGTATTTTGAAAACAGGAATGAGAGGAGTGGGGGTTCCCTGATTATGGCATTCTTGTAATCCTAAGGGTAAAGAAATTAATGATAGAAATATTAGGTCACAAATTTTACATGCCTTTAGCAACCACTTGAGATCATCAGCTTTCTGTTGGCTGTAGCTTCCATTGGTGTGAGAAAGGAAGGTAAATGGCCTGAGGAACTTTAATCCCACAGTTCTCTGTTCTGTCATAGAATGGGACAGAGTGGGATCAGAAGGGGTCACAGCTTTTCTCCAAGTCAATGAACACTGGTGCCAAAATGACAAGAGGTTTGCATTCCCATTCTGTTTGCAGCTGCAGCCTTTGGCTTGCCTTTTTCTCTGTATTTACCTGGGGAATCTTCTGCTTTGATTTACGACTGCAGGATAGCAAGGAGATTATTTTTGACCTGTTTTCTTCACAGTTTGCTCTTAGGACAGGAGGAGGCTTTAAGGAAAATCGGCTTAAACAAAAATCTGATTTTTTTTTCCTGTTTCAGTATACCTGAGTTGAATTTATCTTTCGTAGCTAAACAGCAAGGATTGTGTTCTAGAGAAATATATTAATAAATTGGATTAGTTGAATTACATTTTCTACAATTTTTTAATATAAAACATAACTCACAAGTAGTACTACTGTTTTCTTTCATCATGGCATCCACAGCTTATAGAAAAGAGGAATATTGGCTAGAAATATTGTCTATTACAAACCATAAGATTTGTAAGAAAATAACCTTTTCCAGTCCAAAATGCCTTCAATTTGTGAACATTTAGGCATGTTGTCATGCATGTTTTCTTACGGAAGAGTGAGAGCTGTTGTTATGGGAGCAAGCTTCTCTTTAATTGCAGGTGGAACTAACTTGGGTTTTATTGCTATTGAACTGTATGGGGCTTAATTTATTATTTTACATACTTTCCAGTAATAAACTAGCTATTTACAGGAATAAACCACAAAATCTCATTATTATTGGCTAATTTGCTTCTTTTTCTCTTAGGAAAAGATCATGTCTGTAGATTCATAGGATGTGGACGGAATGACAGATTTAACTATGTGGTCATGCAGTTGCAGGTTAGTGTATCAAAGTGCTCAATGTTTGCTTATGTATTTAGGTTTATTATCCAAGTTTATATGAAAATTCCAGTGAGATTTTAGAGGATGCTAAACAAGCAAATGAAAAAAATCCCAAAGATCAAAAATGCATTGTAGGAAGTGAACATAAATTGAGCATGTCCTTTTTCCTTTTATATCCTTTCCATAATTCTCTCAAAAAGGAGAAAGCTTGCATCCTGAAAAGACCTGACTGTTAGAAGAGTGAACTGTGATGTCTTCTGAGATATTTTACATTCCTTTCAAGTCTTCACTTGATGATAGTCTAAAATGTATTATATTAGTCTCTGTATTTTGTTGGCTTTCTTATAAAAATGAAAAACTATCCTCTGTAAGTAAAAGAAAACACTTCATTTTACTAAAAGACTTGTTTATTAAAAATATGTGCTTAGCACTTAGAGTTATGGGGTTAATGTCCTTTGTTATCCTGGTTAATATGAATACTGAACAAAGTGTGTTCTTGTTCCTACTGTTGTTCATCTGTTATTTTAGAAGAACAACAGTTCTATAATGTCATGGGGTTGCATTTCCTACATAATGTATATTTCATCTGTTTGATATAATGTGTAATTAAATTACCTACTTTTCCTTAAAGAAGTGAGTGTGAAGAAGTCTTCATGAGCATTTTCTCAGTGGTCTTTTTTGGGAGTGACAAAAATACAATTTTAAGTAATAGTGTTTGTAGGGGTCTTCTAATAGGGACTAGTTTGTTCCATGTTTTTAGGAATAGAAAGGTACTAAGTTCGTATTTTCAAAAACAAATTCTAAATTTAGTGTTGGAGATATTCGTGGACATACAGTCATTACATTTACGTGAGATGTGTTACCTTCAAGTGTGAAAATAGGTATTGAGAGTATTTTGTGGTTAATCATGGACAACTAAAGAAGAAGTAGGAAGCCTTTACAGCATCTGTGAATCTTGGTATTAGTATGTTTTTATGAAAATGTCCTTTTAATTTTATCAGGGTCGGAACTTGGCAGACCTGCGTCGTAGCCAATCTCGAGGGACATTCACCATTAGTACCACTTTGCGCCTTGGGAAGCAGATTCTGGAATCTATTGAAAGTATTCATTCTGTGGGATTCCTGCACAGGGACATAAAACCAGTAAGTCTGCCCATTAAATCAAAACAAGCAAATGAGATGTGGTCATTAGATGGCTGCATAAGTAAGAATAGCTTCTCTACTAGATGCTAAAATGCAAAAATGAGAAGGGATGGAAAATTGAATGTTTATTCATCAGATAGGGCAGATTTTTTCTATTCATTAATGTTGGATTGCAACAAGAGTAACTGTAGATTGTAACAGGAGTAACTGGTATTTTTCAGTCTTTGTCTCCAGTTTAGGCCTCCTTGCAATTTCCTGTGATTAAAACTTCCAACCCTTATCTTTAGCATCATGTAACCAAGAGTATTTGCCATGAGATATGACATAATGTGTTTGACTAATGGCAATTAATATTGTGATATGATGAATCCAAAAGAATAGATACTAACTGTAGAGTGTATTTATAAGTCCTTCAATAGCAGTTTTTATGTATTTAATGTATTTTCAACAAACAAGAAAATGAAAGAGAGACTGTATAAGAAAACTATTTTTATTGTAAAATTCTTATTAGATCTATTGTTAATAGGTTAGTATGAGGAGAGTGCCTTCCTGATAGTATCATGCTTTTGTTCTTACTATTTTCTATTTTTCTTTGAATTTGTTCCTGAAATTCAATCATCTGTTTTTGATATTGCTCTGTATGACAAATATCATTAGAACTCTGAACTGTCAGAATTTCTAAATGAGGAAAAAATAAGGAAGTCTTTGTGTTTTCAATAGACGGAAATATGGTTTGTTATATCTGACATATATTGCTAAGTTTCCTGTAGGCTGAATGATGCTTACATAAAACTTCCAACAAGTTTCTGTACATTAGGAAAATTTCATTTGCATCACTTCTTCCTGGCAACTTTTTATAAAACTTATGTTCTCCCTGACCCATCCCCATTTAAGCCTTCATTTAATAGGAAAAGTGAATAGAGACAGTGAATGTCCAGAGAAATTGGTGAGAAAAAATTAGCTGGAGCTAACGGTGCTTTGTGCTGAACTCAAATCTTTAAATCCTTGGCTGTTTGTTTTCCTTGTGACCAATTAGGCAATGCTGAAATTCTGTAAGTAGGTGACATGATTGGAAAATTCTTGCTAAAAAGTAATATATTCTACATGATAAAGTAAGATGGCAATCTCTTTGGACAATATAGGCCACTGTTCTGATATGCTAAGTTGGATGCCTGTTTCTCTTAACAACATTTTCTTCAAATTTATTGGGAGTTCAGTAGAAGTGAAAACATGGAAGGATAGAGAAATAGAATATGAATTTTCTGTTTGTGTTATTGTATTAATATGTGAACATATTGACACCTGTGTGTATTCATCTGTTATCTGTCTGTATTTCTTTTTCTTCCTAGTCAAACTTCGCAATGGGACGTTTTCCAAGCACCTGTAGGAAGTGTTTTATGCTGGATTTCGGCTTAGCACGGCAATTTACCAACTCATGTGGGGATGTCAGACCAGTAAGATTTTTTTTCACAGTTGAAACCCAAATTCTCGAATGTGGTAGTGTGCTGTCTTTTCTTCTGGACAAGTGTGGGAGTTGCATCAAACTGGTAACTGTTGTAAGCTTGACAAACACCATCCCAGATCAGAAATGCCATGTGATATATTATGTTTAAAGATTGGCAGTAGGGAATGAGTCAGGTTTCTGGTTTTTGGCTTGAGACAAAGGTGTACATCTAAGATATTTTGGGATAATCTGTCATTTGGTTTGGAAAATCAAGTGATAAATAGGTCTTCAATAAAAATCAGAAAAATATACCAGAGCTCAATTTCACTTGCTGTTTTGTATTGCATTTAAAAAACCCCCAAAACCCAACAACAACAAAAAACTGAGGAGAAAATGTAAAATCAGACACTAAACTGAATACATATAATCTGAAAGAGAAAGTCTGAATAACTAAAACAGGACACTATTTATATTATATAAGAGCACATAAATAATGTAGTTGTTGTATTGACAATGCAATGCAGTCTGAAGAAGATTGTAGGTAAAAGCATATCAATGAAGAAATTACAATTTTAGGCAAGTAGAGCCTCCTTAATTCACAGGTGGGCAGTTAGTTTTGTTAATTCCAAAGTTTGAAAATAAGCAAGTCAGTGCCATTGTACATGGTAATGTTTAAAAGAAACATTTTCTTTATTAAGTTACTTTAGTTTACATTTTGGTGAGAACACCAAATAATGTAGTAGTCAATATTGTGTAGCATATTTATAAATATGATGCAAATTGAGTGGTAGAAGCCATCTCGATTTCAGGATTTTCGCTCTTATTTTACCTATGAAGTTGGAAAGTGTCAGATTTTTGTGTGCAGATTATGAGGTATGTGAATTAATGAGGTAAATTAGGGGGGTTCTGCTGTACTCCATTCCTTCAGCTGTAATGCTGGACACTGCAATGAAAGCAAAGAGCAGGGGAGACCAACAGCGTGCCTGCTGCTGTTGGAAAGGTGAGGTAAACATTTTAAATAGTTTTATTTATTTTTTTCATTTCTCAGTGTTCTTGTTGTGTTCTGTATGTTTGGCTGCTTATAATGTTTTTTGAACTGACCTCTAATTTCAAAGAGAAAATAATTCCCAAGATTCTCTCTGTAAACACACCAAAGGTAACGCTTCCAGAAAAAAATAAATGATAGCAGAAAATTCACTATTTTTGATATTCTTTCTTTTGTAAAAACTACCTCTCACCTTTTGTTTTTCATTGCAGTGCCCTATAATATAACTGAAGCAATTCTTCAAGTGAAATTGTTTAGAAGTTTTTGACACTGTAATCAATATTTGTAGAGTGCAGTGATGGTAGGGAAAAAGATAGTGGGTTTTTTTGCATGCAAATGGTTATTTAGTTAGAAATGGTTCTTGGATAGTGACCAGCGAAACTGTTGGCCTTGCTTACTAAGAGTATTTATTCATATTTTCACTAAATGTGCTATGTGCTTCTCCTTGAGTCTGTCCTTCTAAGCTTCATTAGCTTTCTTATGCAGATACTGCATGTAATGCAGGATAACGTAGAAGCATGTTCTCCAAAAGCATAATGCTCTCTTCACAAAAACATGTTCCATAGTTAAGGTTGGCCTGGTGACTATTAGCTTTTTATAACCCTGGTTTTGCTTTCCCTGTTTAATTGTCTTTATCTCAAACCAGGAGGTTTCTGGCTTTTCCCCTGTCTTGCTGGTGGGGAGTGGGTGGGTGTCTGGGTGGGGCTTGGTTGCTGGCTGGGGTTAAGCCACAGCAGGCTGTTGTTAGTTGTTATTGACAGGTTTGGAGGGAAGGTTTCTTGTTGTCAGTTTATTTTCCTGGAGAGTTATGGAGTCTCCTTAGTCTTCTTAACTGAAAGACTAGTCAAGGCAGAGAACTTAGAACAAGAAATCCTTTCTTGAAGATGATTTAAACTAATTCCATGCCATTTTTCTGTACAGAAGGATTCCCCAGAGTTGCATGTCATGCCTGTTATTTCCTAGAACATCTCAGTGTTATTTTCAGAGATGTTGTTCATCTTTGTACTACCCATCTTAATGTCAGACTCTGTGGTGATTTAGCAACATTAAAACCTTTCTTCTAGGGAGTCCATTCAGCTGTACCTGCTTCTATCTAAATCCTGTTTTGAAAAATTCAGATTTAATATAAAAAGCTTTTCAGAAAGTAATATTTAAAGAAAAAAATATTTTCAACACTCATAGTGCTTACTGTGTTTTTCATTGCATTTTGGAGTGTCACATATGGACTATCTGTATAAAGAGCTGAAGGGCCAGCATTGTGAGCCCATTTCACTGTTTTTTTTCCTCCATGGAATTTGCATTTTGCACCCTTGGATTAGGTTATCTACAATCACCTTTGGCTTGCAGCAGCCAGATGACAGTAAAACTGATTTTGAAAGGGAAAAAAAAAGCCAAGGACATGTATTGTAATTTATCCACCAAGAATAAGACAGAATCTAAGTAATTGCTTCTGTAAGTGCTAATGCCACCTTTATTCTCACATTTTTCTATCCATCAGAGTCTCTTCTTCATGTAAAGCATAAGTTTTTGAAGTCGGTAAGCAACAGCAGTCTTCATGTGAACTGCTGGTGCAGGATGCACTAATTTTTACATAACTGAGGGACACAATTCAGAAGGGAAACAGATATCTCTTGGGGATCATCAGTCAGGTTTTCTTCATAGATTAACTTGGGGGCCTAGATAATGATGTGTTGTTTGGGTCATCCATTCCGTCTGACCCAAACTTTCAATACCAAGCATGGCATGGAGTTAAAGAGTGAAGGAGTTCAATGAGCTTTTTAAAGTGGATATAAATTGCTGTAAACATAGAAAAATATTTTGTGTTTGTAAAACCTAGTATCAAATTTCTTCTTTCTTTTTCCAGATTTCCCATGTACTTCTGTCATTGCCTTTTTTGCTCTTTAATACAATCTTTTCACACACTGCAACTGAAATAGCCTCTCTCTAGAACTGCAGAATTTCCTCATCCAGCAATATCAGAACTCTTTTTCAGAAAAAATTGAAATAATATACCTCCAGGATATTGTAGCTGTCTTTTTTTCTCTTTCCTCCTCTTCCCTACAAAGGGAATTCAATGCTCTAAGCTTATTTTTACATATCCACTGTGTAGATAGTAATCTGTTGTAAAGTTAGTGAAAAGGGATGAAATTGGTTATAAATGTAATACAACAACTGTTAGAAAAAGACTAGTCCTTTTTGGTATTCTGTAATCATCTGTAATTTCACTGTAAAATCACTGTTATTTCAAATTTAGCTTTTTCCTTATAGGAAAATATTGTCCCTCTTAATAAAGAGGGGTAAAAGGTCATTTCAGAAAATTACAGGAAGGAGTATTTTGAGGGATAATTTTACGTAATGAAAACGTGTTCAAGCTTTATTAGTCTGCCCTAGTGTCTGAGCATAATGTCAAAAGGAAATGCCTTTATTGCTCATCTGAAGGATCCAGGAGTTTTACATTCTCTTGGGTTATTCAGTTAGCAGAGACATTTTTCCGCTTGTTCCAGATACTAACCTTAAAATTAATTTTTATAGTTGCAGTTTTCTTCTTATAGTATTTTACTATAGAGGTCTATGTGAATCTCCAAAACTGAAAGAAAAACCTAAAGCATAAAGTAAAAACAAGGCTTTGCACACCTTTTCATGCTACAGATAGTTCTCTCTCAGAATTACTATTGTAAAATAAAACATTTTTAACTGCTAATTTTGACATGCATCTATTTTACCAAAGTTGCCCTGTATTCCAGCTGTCTGAACGACTATGCTTGTGAGGAGCTGACTTCAAGGAGGGAGGGATATTTCTGTTGTATTCAGTAACAAGATATTTGTAAAATGTAAAAACATGTTGAAAAGAGTAGTGAGGAGTTGCAGTTTATTAAGTTGTATGATCTGACGCTATTACCTGACTAAAACTTAAAAATCAGAAACAAACATTTATTGTATTTTGTATGTTTGTGAAAGATGAATGAATGGTAACAGCTTCTGATTCTACATGGTGGGGATGATGCTAGGATGCAGATATTTGGGGTACATGTAGAATTAAATTATAGAATGGAGGTTGGTAAGGAACTACTAACTGGTGGGAAGAGCCTTCTCTTGGGATAGAAAAGATCAGAAGAGAGAAAATTGAGTGTGGGAGGAACAAAAACTGTTGGGGATGATGTAGGCTGTTAAAAGAAAGAAGGATGAAGCACAGGCAAGCAAATAAATTGTTGGAGAGAGGAAGCAATAAACGAATTAATGGTGTAGATAAGAATTGATTACTGAAAAGCAGGGTAATTAGAATTAAATTGTAGGGGTACTCTAATCATCAAACAAATACATATAGCAGGATGCAAATTTAGTATATTTATGAGATTCGTAGTCTGCTGTTTATTGCTTTTTGAGGGTGTAGTACCTAACATTTTGTTTGCTATTGTCTTAGAGATAGCAGAAGTAAGTACTAGCGTATTTTTGGTTTTTAATGCAGATGAAGAATAAATGATTCTTTTTGCATGTAAACCTAACTTCATACAGCCATCAATTTCCATGTCTCTGTTTACATGCTGAAAATGGAAAGTGAGGGTGTCAGCTGTGGTACAGAAATAGAAAACCTTGAGGGACAAAATGCGAAGGACATTTGCATTCTTAATATCATCAGTACTGCAGCCAGCTCTTAGGCAGTTGTCATCACTCCTGTTTTAAAGGGAACCATAACCACAACTGTTTTCTGAGGTACTATTAAACTTAATACAAAGAAAGCAAAACAAAATAAAAGAATAAGCCATTAGTCTTTGCTGTTAAAAAGATTAGCCTTTAAAAAATAATTTTAGGTCATAATTCTTTAAAAATCCATAAATTCAACCATCATGTATACCACATGCCTGAGTTTTGTGGTCGTTTATTTATGTGGATTGCAAATTATAAACAAGTGAATTTTATTTGTTTTACAAAGAAGATAGTATAACATATATGCAAGCTGAGGTGAA